CGAGGCAACCTTAGGATTAGCACCGAGCTAACCCCCTACCAAATATCTCTACAACCCTGTTGTAACCCCTCGATTTTGTGTGCTTTTGAGTATAAGGATCATCAATAGTTGGACGTCGTAGGCCATCGATTGGTCCGAACCAGGATAAACTGTTGCGTCCTCTCTGTGATTCTTGTGTTCTTGAGTTCACCCGAGCCACCGGAGACACGTACTCTGACACCGACTCGAACAACAATGCTTGCCGCAGTTCCGACCCCGCAACAGCTGCCTCAAGCCACAGTTCACCTTCTTCAAATTGGCCTCGAGCCTGACTACCATTGAACGCCGTCTATAAATCGGGCTCAAGCTGCCACCGCCAAGAGCCCCTCGTGCCACCACTGTGCGTGGGAGAGAGAAGAGGTGAGAAAATGTGAGGATTCAGATGAATGTTTAAGATAGGAGAAAATAATAAGGTTCTACCTATATGAGGCTAGTCACAACATATGGTTTATATAATCAACATAAGTTTATACACATACGAGAAAGGATGAAGTTTGTGAACCCTTAGGGTGTGATTGGTTCGGAGCTCAGCCTGGCTCGCACCTGCCAGCCAGGTTTCAATTCCCAACGCCAGGCTCAGAGCATGCGAGTCATATGTGTTTGGTTGCTCGCTTCCCTCCGGCCAAACTGCATAGCCAGACGATTGATTGATTCAGCCTTTTACTACGCACTCAGAGACAGAAAACGACACAAGCGTTCGTGCTACAGTTTGATTGATTCAGCCTTTTACTACGCACTCAGAGACAGAAACGACACAAGCGTTCGTGCTACAGTAATCATATGTTAATGATGGATTACTTAGGCCTAATAGATTTATCTCGTAAATTATTCTCTATCTATGTAATTAGTTTTATAATTAGCTCATATTTAGTCCTCCTAATGAGCATACAAACATCTGATGTGACCAGGATTAGACTTTAACCACCGCATCAAACACCCCTAAGTTAACTCTGGTACTAAAATATAGAGTGCACTACGTATATGTTTTTTAAAATTAATGGTCAAAGAACTTATACGACATATTATAAAGAAATAGATGCATATAAGTCCTATATAAAAAGACCAGTAGCATATTTTATGCTGGAGGGAACAAAGCAGTATATGTTGAAACTGAAACTTCTGGATCGTATCGCGCGCAATGATTTCAGAAAAATTGTGTGCAGGCAATCAATATGATAGGACTGGACGGCGCGGCACTCAGATCACGCTCGGCCGCCGGAACCGGAACGCAGGGAATGGCCGGTGGTGGACTACTGAAACGGCGGCGGAACAGTATTTTCCTGTTTCATGATTGAGATTGACCAATAATAAATTATAGCGGCGCGCATTTCTGAACGCGAACACAATGATTTTTGTTTTTATTTAGATAATAAAGAACGAATACAATATGTACGCGTGAGGACTGGAAAAGCTAGCGACCAGCAACAGCAAGCAAGAGCGCCATATACTAAAAGTTATACTACAAACCCTAAACTGCAGGCAGCGTGTACGTCATTGTCCGTCTGTTACGATATGATCATATCAGACGACAAAGCAGCTACAGCCGGCGGGCCCCGCCACGGCGACTCCACACACACACACAACTAATACCAATATAATACGCCTAAATTAATCCGATGCGATTAGCGCCTCTGATCCATCTGCTAATGCTTGCTTAAGTAGCCAGCACCTGCCTCTGCCTGCCTGCCAGTACGTACTACCAGCATTCAGCTACGGCTGCAGGGCAGTCTAAAGGCAATAATTAATAATGCAGACGACCGATGGAGGCGACGACGACCGATAGTTTATGCAACAGCAGCAACGAGCAGACGCCCATTCCCGGCGCCAACCGCAAGGTTGGTAGAGGCAACCGAAGGCCCCCATCCAAACGTACGCCACCAAAAGTATTTCTTGAAACCAACTCCTAATTATTCAAATTACCAAATGGCATGGGAAGACGAAAGCAAAGGATGTGATTAAAACTGGCTGAAAAACACTGTTCCGGCAGGAGGGACTACGTACGGTGGATGGTATCCCGTTCTCTGGTCTTTATAAGAGAAAACACTGTTCCGGCTGAAAAAAAAAGCCGAACAAACCAAATATGGATTAAGCCGAACAGGACATTCATTTTGTTTATGTGCGGGATGACAGCGGCTCCGCAACAAACAAACAAAGATATATATATATATATATATATATATATATATATATATATATATATATATATATATATATATATATATATATATATATAAAAGGACGCCGAACAGGGCAATATAGGCCGGAATAGGAGCAGTACCACCCACCGTACGTAGTCCACGTCGCCTCCTCCCTCGTCCCTCCTGATCGAAACAGGAAAACACTGTTTTCCTAGACCTGGCTGCACGCCTACGTACACCAAAATTTATTTTTTTTGTTTATGTGCTGGATGATAGCGGCTCCGCAACAAACAAACAAACAAAAATATATATAAAACCTTTCAAGAAAAGGACAAATATGAAGATCGCATGCATCCGTCTAGGTCTACGTATGTCCAAATAGAACGTGTACACTCAAATCTTTATATATTTTCCCTGCTACGTAAATACGTAGAGAGCCAATATAGTATTATTACACCCGTGAGTTTTATTGTCCATAATCAGATTTCATACATTTATCTAGGTATGCATGGTGTGTGCACGAGCTAGCTAAGATTTGAGCATCTTCAGTAGTTTCTCCAAATAATCACTTGGTAAATTAATGTTTTCCAAATTGCTAAAAATGTTAGAAGCATATTCGTTGACTCTCTTCGACTCCTAAAAGATAGAAAGGTAATTTTGCTTCAAAAATCTCAGCCGATTCTTAAATCACAATAACCACTTGCATCAAGCTAATGCTAATTTATTCTAGGCTTCGTTCACACTGCTAGACCGCACCACGTCATTGTTCTCCACTCGTGGGAGATTAGCTAGGTAATTGTGAATTTGTATCTCTCGTGCCAATTGCATTATATTATTAATTTGTTATCTAGTGCTCATCACTGCATGCTCCAAGTGGACTCTAGTTTTTTGTTTTTTTTTAAAAAAAATGAATGATTCAACTTTTAATCTATCACTTCATTCCACTTGAGCCTCTTCTGGAACACGAGCTGCTTTTTTCTAACTAGTCTTATGTTTTTCTCTGAAATTTATGCATGATTCTTTTGAAATAATACTCCATCTGCATTCCAAAGGTGCTTCGTGGTGGGTGGGGAGAATACCGCTGCCAAGACGAATACCGCTGCCAAGACAACGTGAATAAATCACACTACTACTAGTACAAGTTAGATGATAATTAGGACAGCTAGCTAGCAACGGAATCGCTTTAGGCAGTTAAAGCCAAGACTTTGGGTAATTAGCTAGTAATTGATCAAGCACGAGTTGTGGAAAAACGTTGCTTCCTTCGTTCCATATGGGTGACAGCCAGCTGCGTGCTGAATACTTGCCTAATTGGAGGCATGGAGGTAGCTAGCAAAACAAAGTGCGGCAAGCATCTGGAAAATGTATATAGCTATGGACGATGACGGTTAGTTATTGTCACCGAATCCGAATATAATCGTCGCGAGTACGACAAGGCGATTACTATATATATAATCATCATTTAATTAGTGATGAGCGAGCGAGATGATGAGTTGCGCTAAACCTTGCATGCATTGCACACCCCTTACATATATTAGTAAAAGTTTAGAATTTGTTCCGATGACATGTAAACAATGCAAATTAATTGGGGCCCTGAAAATGGCTGCCTGCCAAGAAGTTGACTTTGTATCTAGACATGTACGAAAAGTAGAGCCAATTAGCATGCACGCACGCTAGACAACTTGTTAGGAGCGGTCTTAGACGTCCGATTTTGGATGCTTAGAGCTCGGATCCTTTGCTATGGTTGGGAGGTTGTTTTTGACTTACTCATTTTCCGTGAGGGGAAATGTGGATATTTTCTGAGATGTCCAAATCAACAAAAAAAAATGGAGGGGGGTTATGTAGAGTGCGTTGTTGGTACGTGTTGGATTATGTATGCATTATAGAAACTGTAAGTTGTGCAACAATATAAGGTTACATGGCCTGTTGTTTGTTTTTACTTTTTTGAGCTGTAAATTACAAACATAGGTGAAACAAACTGGGTCTGAACCTAGCTAACACCAATTCAGTGTAGACGCTTACACACTTTCTTTAGGACACGTATAACTGTACGGTGATTGACCACGTACACCAGCAGGCGCGCGGCAATCCTTTATACTCCTATATAGCCTCGCCTTTTTGACTGTGTGTCACGGTGCCCTTTACTTTTCGGTTTTGTATATGAATCGAACATTAGCTTTATCGTTAATTAATAAATACGCTAGTACTACCATCAGATCAGACTAATTAATTAACAGCAGCAGCAGCAGCAGCTACTCGATCGTCGGCCGGTTGTCAGCATGCAGTCAGTCTGAAACAGGCGGAGACGATGCAGCATTTCGGCCATATCATCATGTTGATTCTGTTGACGACTTTGATAGCGACGAGCGAGGGTGATGATTTGATTTTCACCGGTCATGCATGCATGCATGGGCCAATTAATGTTTTGCTTCCAGCGAGGGAGCTAGCTGGCTAGCTGTCCATGCACGGAACGGACCGGATCGCTACTCGGTCGGTCAAACCTCCGCCCCACACGGACGAGACGACCGCCGCACCAGCCGTCGGCGTCGCCTACCTAGCTAGCTCCTCCTTCCCTCTCCATCATCTCCGACCTCCCCTGTCTTGGCCTCCCTCCAGCTGGAGCTGCATGCCTATATAAAAACCCCAGCGCCATGCACCACCTCTCCTCATCCCATCGACCACCAAGCAACACCAGCAACTACTACTAGCAGCAGCAAGCGACCTCCCTCATCGAGCGATCACCATCTTTGCATATACATACACCAACATCTTTGCAGCAAGCATAGGTATAAAATGGACGCCGTAGCGGCGGCAACGGGTGGCGCCATGGCGATGGCGGCGGCGGCGGTGCTGCTGCTCTGCGCCTTCATCTACGCGGCGTGGCTAGCGCCGGCCGCGGCAAGGCGCCGGCTCCGCGGGGCGGGCTTCGACGGGCCCCGCCCATCCTTCCCCTTCGGGAACCTCCCCGAGATCACGGCCTCGCTGCAGGCCTCCGCCGCCGCCAAGAAGCCGTCCTCCTCCGCCGCCGCCGTCTCCAGCGACATCCACGGCGCCGTGTTCCCCTACTTCGTCCGCTGGCGCGAGTCGTTCGGCAAGGTGTTCGTGTACTGGCTGGGCACGGAGCCGTTCCTGTACGTGGCGGACCCGGAGTTCCTCAAGGCTGCCACCGCCGGCGCGCTGGGCAAGCGATGGGGGAAGCCCGACGTGTTCCGCCGCGACCGCATGCCCATGTTCGGCCGCGGGCTCGTCATGGCCGAGGGCGACGAGTGGGCGCGCCACCGACACATCATCGCGCCGGCCTTCTCCGCCACAAACCTCAACGTACGTACAGTCGTTGATGTTGCCCTGCTTGTGTTGTGCACCATTTTGCATTGTCTTCTTCTGCTAGCTGCTGCTTTGAGATCCGTGCTCCATCTCCATGCATGCACTGGTGATGCACCGATGCTGATGCTGATGGTGACGGTATGCAGGACATGATCGGGCTGATGCAGGAGACCACCGCCAAGATGTTGGCCGAGTGGACCGAAGCGGTGGCATCGTCTGCCGGCGGGGCCGTCGTGGACGTGGAGCGGGGCGTGGTCCGCAACGCCGCCGAGATCATCGCCAAGGCGAGTTTCGGGGTGGCGGACGACGAGGCCGGCGCGCGGGTGTTCCGGAAGCTGCAGGCCATGCAGGCGATGCTGTTCCAGTCCAACCGCCTCGTCGGTGTGCCTCTGGCGCGCCTGCTGCACGTGCGAAAGACCTACGACGCGTGGCGCCTGGGCCGGGAGATCGACGCGCTGCTCATGGAAATCATCGACGCGCGCCGCCGGAGCCGAGCAGCCGGCAGCGGCGACAAAGGCGGCAAGGACCTGCTGTCGCTGCTGCTGGCCGGCACGGAGGCCACGGCGGGCGCCGAGCGGCGGCTGACGACGCGGGAGCTGGTGGACGAGTGCAAGACCTTCTTCTTCGGCGGGCACGAGACCACGGCGCTGGCGCTGTCGTGGACGCTGCTCATGCTCGCCGCGCACCCGGACTGGCAGGACGCGCTGCGAGAGGAGGTGGCGCGCGAGCTCGGCGACCACCAGAACCTCGACGCCGCCGCGCTTGGCCGCCTCACCAAGATGGGGTGGGTCATGAGCGAGGTGCTGCGCCTCTACCCGCCTTCGCCCAACGTGCAGCGGCAGGCGCTGGAGGACGTGGCGGCGGAGGGCAAGTCGTCCGTCGTCATCCCGCGCGGCACCAACATGTGGGTGGACGTGGTGGCCATGCACCACGACGTGGAGCTGTGGGGCGCCGACGCCCACGAGTTCCGGCCGGAGCGGTTCGGCCGGGACCCCGTGCAGGGCGGTTGCCGCCACCGCATGGGGTTCCTCCCCTTCGGCTTCGGCGGCCGCATCTGCGTCGGCCGCAACCTCACCGCCATGGAGTACCGCGTCGTGCTGGCCATGCTGCTGCGCCGGTTCCGGGTGTCGGTGGCGCCCGAGTACCGGCACGCGCCCAAGATCATGCTCTCGCTCAGGCCCTCCAATGGCATCCAGCTCCACCTCACGCCGCTGGTCGAGGTGGTGGACCACGCTGCTGCCGCCACGTCATCATCGGCCTAGCTAATAACTAGCTTAGGGCCTGTCTGGCTCCGGCTCTGGCTCCTCTTAGGCCCCGTTTGGCAGGGCTTCTTCAGCGGCTTCAGGAGCCGTTTGGAACCGTTTTCTGCCAAATGGGGTAAAATAAAACGGCTCCACCGATGAAGCCCCTAAAAACGTGCTCTCATAGAGCTTTGGGGTGGGAAGGAGCCAAAAATAGTGGCTTCTCCCGGCTCCTCCTCTAGGCCCCTAAAAACATGCTCTCACAGGGAAGTCATTTTGCCAAACGGTTTACCAAAACCGCTTCAGCTCCACCGGTGGAGCTGTTCGTGGAGCTGAAGCAAAAAAAAAATGGCTTCACTGGTGAAGTGAAGCCCTGCCAAACGGGGCCTTAAAATGGCTCCGGCTCTGGCTCCTCTGAAGGAGCAGCTCCTCTAGAGGAGCTGAAGCCGTTCTGGAAAACGTTTGGCAAAATGACTCCCTTCTGTTTTTGTAGAATGGATGGAAGAGGGTGAATGTCCATATTGCCCTTGCTTTAACTTGGTTTTACATTTTGACCCCGTTCGCTGGTCTAAAACTTGGCTGAAACTAGCTGGTTTTGGGAGAGAGAAACACTCTTTGGTTGGATGAATGAACAGTGTTTTGTGAGAGCAACAGCCGGCTGGTCAGACCAACGAACGGCACCTTTATTTATATTTTTGTGATTTATTACATATTTTATAAGTACCATGCGATTTTGAACCTGTAATGAGAAGCTAATAGTTGCTTTTGCATTGGGAACCCTGGTCTATTTCTAAATTACTAGAGCATCAATTGTTTTCTTTTTCTCTTATATTTTTACATTGGGAACCCTATCTTTTCTCCTATCCTTGCTAGCAGATCCTCCTCTTTCTGTGTTGCTAGCTCTTCGCAGGGTGGTGCCCGCGACGCCCATGGCCTCGCCACCGCTGCCACACGCTCACGTCGCCGTGGCCTCCATGTCTTTTCACTCGCGGATGGACGAGGAGCCAGGAGAAGCTCGGTTTTGGGGCTCTGTCCGCGCAGCACAAGAAATGCTCCGGCTCCCTTGCGGCTTCGGTAGCGGAGCTGGTTTACTCATCGGTGTTTGGCAGGGCTTCGGCAGGAGCCGGAGCCGGAGCCGTTCGCGGAGCCCTGCCAAACGGCCCCTTAGCTGATCATCACAATATCTATCATGCCTACTTTATTAGCTAATAGCTGCAGGAGTACAAGTTGTGCTCCACTTGATTACTATAGATAAATAGATATATAGATATCATGAAACGAATTAATTACATATTATATATATATATATATATATAGGCAGGTTTTTTTAGCATAATATATATAGGCAGGTTACACTAGTGCTCGAGTGATTTATATAATAGGCACGTGAGGAGCATGAGCATCACTACACGTACGCGTATGCAGCTGCTAGTTAGCTCCTAAATAAAATGGATGCTTGTTTTGTATCCCTACTAGTTTTGCATATATACACACTCGCAGTACGTACGTACAAAGTGGATCCCGCTAATATGTACGTATTTCATAAACAATATATTACTTTGATCCTTTGTTTATAAATATATGATATGCCATTGGCTTTTTTTTCCATCGAAATGTTGACCGATGATATCATTTATTCAATTAATTAGCTAATTAAAAATGAAAGAGAGTGGCTTTCTCCAAAACAAGAGGGTGAAAACGGTACCATATCATTAGGCAGGCATATTAAGCCATCTCCTGATCTTGGTGTAAGCCTTTGCGTTCCTCTGCTCAGCTGGCGTGCGGCTGTACGTGCTGGCTGACTTCCATTCATCAGTTGAATCAATGCATGAAATTGATATCGATGCCAGCCAGCCCCAGCAGCTACTGGTTCAATAAGAAACTTCTTATTGAGTTGATCAAATCTCCGTCCTCTTTATAAACATGCGTGCATGCACATCTTTTGTTTGGTCCAACCCCAACACCCCAGGCAAAGTAAAGTTGACTGACGCTGCTGCTGGTCTACGTACGTACGTACGTGCTGGGTTCGGAGGGCGCGATCAAAATACTTACCGTGCGGGCAGTCAATGTAAAAACATGGAGCCTGCCGTGGTGGTTTTCTTCGGCTGGTCGCCGTCGTGCCGGCCGGCGGGTCAAATTTGTGTTTCAAAACCTCATCATGCTTCTTCTTCGCTATGTGCTGAAAAAATTGCAAAAATGACACTCGAAAAATTGACTCCTTGATTATGATGACACTCAGGTGAATGACAAATGGATCTATCTGTGTCTATGAATATGGGTCCAGTGTCAAATCTGAAAACAACCGATATTTCGAGTCCTATTTTTACAAATGCCCCGCGTGCGACCAGCTAATATGTACCCTGGCCAGTTATTTTATTATATATATATATACCCTCCGTTTTAAAATAAAAAGTTTCTTTAAACTTTTCATACAGATTAAGGATGCTGAAAAAAAACGAGAAAGTAAAATCTACCCCAACCCTAAGGGCATGTGAGTATTTTGGTGCACATCCAACAGTTCATAGTAGGAGAGCATATGTATACCTTTATATAAGAGCAAAAAAAAATACATTTTCAGCAAAAGACAACTATTCTCATCTCCTTTCCTTTTCTATTCCACGGTATATAGTATATCTTCTGGAAAAAAAAACAGCTGTTATTAAGTGCAGGTAGCAATGGATGGGAGAAGCGATGAGGACACAAGAGACAATTGAGACAATTTTTTTTAAAAAAAAATCCTCCACTAAAAAAAATAAACAAGGGAGAAGCGATGAGGACACAAGAGACAATTTTTTTTAAAAAAAAGCCTCCACTATAAAAAATATAAACAAGGGCCCATCCGGGTTCGAACCGGAGACCTATTGATCTGCAGTCAATTGCTCTACCACTGAGCTATAGACCCGATAATGCCTTGGTGCCGATTGATGTTATATTTTATTACAAAAAAGGGAGGATGGAACTGGAGGAAGTCTACATGGATTCTGCTTCTGCTGACGGTGTGGAGGCCGCCGATGAGTGCTGCCGGTGCACCTGTCCTGCCGTCCTGGGTATGTATCCAGCGGCGGCGTGCCGGCGTTGGGAGCCTCCATTCCATACATACAGCAATGAGCAATGGCATCTTGCCATCTTCCGATCCTCCTGTCCACCAGCAAGCAAGCAATTCAGCATCCATATCCACATCCCATGACTGATGCCTGATGCTGATGAACAAGCAAGCAAACAGAAACAGGGGACCTATCTAAAGCTAGCTCCTGGTCTCAGTCTTTGCATTGACAGACCCACGACGTGCATCAGGCCGGACAGTACGTACTGACGTAAAACGGCGACAGTCAACGCCGTCGTCCTCGTGCAGGAATGTATCTTATCCCAAGTTAGAACTGACTGGGATTGAGATAGATAACGTTGACCACCAAAGCTGACATCCTGCATTTCCCGGCAACGCAACGCAACCCAACCCGTACGTCTCGTCTGTCTGTCTGTCCCCCCTTCGTAGTTCGTTCCAAACTTTGAAATTCTCCGATTCGATTCGGTTCAACCTTTGGTTAGTTTGGCCTAACGATGACTAATGAGTGAACAAACGCGTTGGCCGGGCGCTCACTAGTACTCCGTAGCTAGCTTTTTCTCCCGGCCGGTTTCCTTTTCTTACCTCTTTGGTTTGCCCTTTGGCTCGTGCACGACAGGAGACCTCCTCCTTCAGTTTCAGTCCGAGTCCATTTTTTAATTTTGATTTCATTTCATTTGACTAACCATGCACAGCATTTGCCCACCAAACCTAGCCTCTTCTTTGGTCGTTGCTTCTCCCACATACACACACACACGCGCACGCACGCACGTCAAGATCAAATCCAATCCCATGTTCCCAATCCCACTCAGTCGCCTTTTTTTGGAGTCTAAAGTTCGGACCGTCCGTCCGACCCCAAGATGTCAACTGATACGTACTCATGCAATTCTCATAAACAATACCAAGCACATTCTAAAGTTTGACTAAATCTATATAAAAATGCAATAATTTATTATACTAAATATCGTTAAATTAACCATGCAATATACTTTTCACAGATCACAGTATATCTAACTATATAGACTCATAAATGCTAACAATATTTTCTATAAACTTCATTTTATCAAACTTAACAAAGTTTGACCCAATCTAAACCCAGAGTTGCATAATCCTTTTTCGGAGACAAGGCCATACATGGACTACAATGACCCATCCATCCGCCTCCAAGAATTCCAAGCCTCTCTTCTTCCAGCAGTAGCATATACCACATATATTATCATAACACCATCTTTAGGTGGCAAAGCATCTCCCATTATCTCATACAACAACATCCCAAGTACAATATCACATCACAACAATACCATATATGATATACTCGGAGTTCTGAGTTTCCTAAACCACAGCAAAGCCTACAACAAAGTTGTTAGTACATGCATGCTGTGTGTCCGAGGAGGAGGATTCCATTTGTTCCGAGGAGCCTTATCCACCCACCCAACCAGATGCAACGACCGCGATCCTACTACTCGCGGATCGAGTTGATATCGATGTTGGGAGTTCTCGAGTCCATCTGCCGCATCATGCCCGATGCCCACCCGCCGCTCATCGCAGGAGGAGGGCCCATGCTGCTGTGCTCTGCAAGTGCCATCGCAGGGGCCACCTCTTCATCGCCGGTGTTCGCCTCCTCGGGCTCCATGTCCCCCTCGGCTTTCGCCTTGTTCTTCTTCGAACCTCCGTACATGAAGCTCCCCACTATCACCTGCAACAATGCAAAACCAGTGCGTAAGAAACAACCCAACCACCACAACAGGTGGTCCATGAACGGTGGCCATGGTCCCTTTTCTTTATGCAGATGACACAACAAACAAACCATATGACAGCAAAATTATAATACTGACAGTATATTCATATACAGTATACTACTTCACAAAAGGTCAGATGATCTCTTCTATCACACTCACCTGAACTGTTCCAGCTGCTGTCAGGACTCCACCTACACTCCCACCAATAACCCTGTGGTCAG